CTTTCAAAGTGCCCCATAGGTTGTGTTGTGTTGTATTGCCCTTTTTGTTGAATTCCAGGAATTTTTTATTTCTTTCTTAATTTCTCCTTTGACCCACTCATTGTTTAGGAGTGTGTTGTTTAATCACCATGAGTTCATGTAGTGACTAGGGCTTTGTCCTGTGTTGATTTTGAGCTTTATTGCGTTGTGATCTGATAGAATGCATAGAATTATTTCAATTTTTTTGTATTTGTTGAGGTTTGTTTTGTGGTCCAGTATGTGGCCAATTTTTGAAAAAGTTCCATGGGTTGCTGAGTAGAAAGTGTGTTCTTTGGTGTGTGGGTGGAATATTCAAAAGATATCCATTCAGTCCATTTGAAGTATGGTATCATTTAATTCAGATGTGTCTCTATTTATTCTTTGTCCAGCTACTCTGTCTAATAGAGACAGTGGGGTATTGAAGTCCCCTACTATTACTGAGTTGGGATTAATCTGTGTCTTTAAGTCCTGTAGTGTTGTTTTTATGAATTTGGGTGCACCAGAGTTTGGTGCATATATGTTAAGGATTGTAATATCTTCTTGGTTGATTGTTCCTTTGATCAGAATGACGTGACCCTCCTTATCGCTTCTGATTAGTTTTACTTTGAAATCTATTTTGTCAGATATTAGAATCGGAACCCCTGCTTGTTTCTTAATGCCATTTGCTTGGAATATTCTTTTCCATCATTTTACCTTAAGGTTATACTGGTCCTTGAAGGTGACATGGTTTCTTGCAGACAGCAAAGATGTGGATTTTGTTTCTTTTTCTTTCTCTTTTTTTTTTTTTTTTGGTCTTTTTGAGACAGGGTCTCCCTGTAGCCCCAGCTGTCCTGGAACTCACTATGTAGACCAGGCTGGCCTTGAACTCACAGAGGTACGCCTGCCTCTGCCTCCCAAGTGCTGGGATTAAAGGCATACGCCACCACGCCCGGCCAGATTTTGTTTCTTAATCCATTCACTTAGCTTGTGTCTTTTGACTGGGGAGTTCAGTCCATTGATATTTACAGTTATTATTGAAAGATATATGTTGGTTGCCATCATTTTGATTGCTCTTTGTGTTCCCTGTCAAATTTCCTCAATTATACCTTTATTTATTTTCTTTAGTTACCCCTGGGGTCTAGTTGTTTCTCTCTCTGCTCTCTGTATCGTTTCAAGTATTCTTTGAAGAGCTGGTTTTGTGGACATGTATTTTTTCAAGCTATTCGTATCATGGAAAATTTTCTTTCCCCCTCAACTATAATAGGCCTTTTTGCTGAGTATAGTATTCTGGGCTGGCATCTATTGTCATGTAGAACTGGAAATGCCTTGGTCCGGGCTCTTCTGGCTTTCATACTTTGCATTGATGAGTCAGCTGTAATTCTGATGGCTTTCCTTTGTATGTGCTTGTTTTTCTTTTGCTGCTTTCAGTATTCTGTCTTTGTTCTGTACATTTAGTGTTTTTACTATGATAGGTGGTATGTATGGGGATGTCTTTCCTTAATTTTGGGAAATTCTCTTTTTTTCAGTATTCTGTCTTTGTTCTGTACATTTAGTGTTTTTACTATGATAGGTGGTAGGGAGTTTCTTTTCTGATCCTGTCTAGTTGGTGTTCTATGTGCTTCCTGTATTTGTATGGGGATGTCTTTCCTTAATCTCAGGAAATTCTCTTCTACAATCCTGTTTAAGATCTTGTCAATTCCATTAACCTGAAAATTCTTCTCCTTTCTCTATGCCTGTGATACGTAGATTTGGTCTTTTCATGGTGTCCAACATCTCTTGGATATTCCATTCCTGTGTTTTTTTTAAATTTTCCATAATCTTTTCTTGAGTGGTCCAGTTCTTCAACTTTATCCTCCAGTGTTGATATTCTGTTTTCCATTTCATATGGATCCCATAGGACTGTCCATGGAGGACTGTAGTAGGGTGAGGCAGAGAGGATGCCCCATCCCGTAGACATGGAACAAAGAAGGTCAGGGAGCTAGAAGAGTCTATAGAATTAGAAACACCCAAGGTTTTGTTGTTCTGTCAGCTCTCAAAGGCCTTCATTTATCACTTTTCTAATGGGTAAATCATGATATAATACTAGATGGATTTTATGCAAAATGTGTCCTGGAAAACTATAGGCTCAATTGTTTGTGTGACCCAAAAAATGGGGTCAGAGAAGTGATTAATAGAGTCCAGCTCTCTTTTAAAGACTAATCCTGTGTATCATGAGGGAGTGAACTGTGGACCTGCGGCTGGGCCATTTTCCTTCAGTGCGGGTAGCTGCTGAGCTCCTGGTTGTGGATCTTGTTCTGTGCCTGCCCTGCACTTATTTCTCCTCTCGCTCCTGCCCCTGCTCCTGTTCCCTCTGATAATTCTGTTCTATCTCTTCCTCCTGCTCCTCCTCCTCCAGCAGGACACACTAGTAGAGATGCTCGAATTCAAGGTGAACTCAGACTACATGGTCAAACCTTGTTTCAAAAGAAGGAAAAGCAAGAGAAAGGGGAAAAGGAAGAGAAAGAAGAGGAGGAGAAACGGGAGGAGGGAGAGGAAACAGGAGAGGAGAAGAAGAAGGAAGAAAGAGGGGGTATAATGAGGTCGCTCAGTTGGCAAAGTACTTGCCACCCAACTCTATTGAGCTGAATCCCCAGATCACATAAAAAAAAAAAAAAAAACTAGACATAATGATCCTGCACTTCTAACCACTGTGTTGGAGAGGAAGAGTCAGGCATAGTCCTGGAGCTTGCTGGCCAGCCAGCATGGCCTACTTGATGAGCTCTAGCCCAGTGAGCAACCCTGTCTCAAAAATAAGGTGAACAGGCTAGAGCAATGGCTCGGCAGTTAAGATCATTGGCTACTCTTGCAGAGGACCTATGTTTGGTTCTCAGCACCCACATGGCAGTAAACAACCCTTCCTAACTCCATGCCACTCTCTTCTGACTTCTGCAGACATTGCACAACATGGGTGCACTTACAAACATGCAAGAATTACACTCATACATAAAAAATAAAAATAATACATAAAATATTTTTTTAAAAAAGAACACTGGTTGCTCTTGCAGAGAATCTGGGTTCAGTTCCCAGCACTCACATGTTGGCTAGCATCCATCATTAACTCCAGGGTCTTTGATACCTGTTCTGTCCTCTACGGTTATCGCACACATGCATGAACTTACATATATCCAAGCAACACACTCATACACATAAAATATAAATAAGTAAATAGAAAATAAGATTTATTTACTTATTAAATAATAAGGAGCAACAGCTCCAGTTGTCCTCTGTCCTCTACATGCACACATACCCATACACCTGAACCCAAACATGCACCATCACATGCACACACACATGCACCTGCACCCAAATATGTACCATCACACACACACACACACACACGAAAGAAAGAAAGAAAGAAAGAAAGAAAGAAAGAAAGAAAGAAAGAAAGAAAGAAAGAAAGAAAGAAAGAAAGAAAGAAAGAAAGAAAACCTAACACACAACATAAAGCTGAGCTGGATATAGCAATGCACACCCGTCATCCCAGTCATCCAGAAGCCAAGGGCAGCCTGGGCTATGTACTCACATCCTTTTCTTCAGGAATCAAAACAAATTAAATTAAAAATTTAAATAAATAAATAAATAAAAGGGATGACCCTGAAATATTGAACATCATTTTTTTCACCTGGAACAGGAGCCATTGTTCAGTTACACCAGGTCTCCAACAGATCCATGACCTTCATTACAATGCTGAGTAAAGACAACTCAGATACCAAGGAGATTCCTCCCAATGGATAGTTAACTGAGCCCAAGAATCTCTGTCACCTTCTGCTGTCCTCAGCTCACACTTGAGAAGATCATCACAAACCTCACAACTCACTGAGCCTGGCCTCAGGAAGCCAGGGCAAGGCCAAGAGCATCCCTGCCCTTATACAAATGTTGAGTAGAAAATGAAAGATCAGGGTCCAGAATGACACCCACTCCACGCCCTTGGAGGAATGTGGGAGAGCAGGGGGACATGAGGAGGGGAACAAGACAGAATCACAATGAGCTCGAAGGGATGGTAAGTGAATGAGTCTGCAGGGACGTGCGGTTGAGGGGAGGAGGGCTTCAGTTCACTGGCAGAGGGACCTGGGGCCCAGCACTCTCCTTTGGACATCTTGCATGCCCACTCTTCTGCCTCATCCTGTGAGCTAGCTTACTTAGAAGTCTTGAAGGAAGCAGTTGCTCTCACCTCGGGGGAAAGAAGGGCCTGAGAGAGGGCAAGGGTAATCCAACTGACCTGCACTAACTCTCCTCAGTCATCCCCCTCCTCCCCTGACTCTTCCTCCCAGAGGTCCACACCTTACTGCTCCTCCAGGCCATAGAACAAATCACAGGGCACAGGTGATCTTTACAACTTCTATTCTAAAATGAAGGAATCCAAAGAAAGCCATGATTCTCAGATATATTAAAACTTGGTTCCTCTACCCTCTGCCAGAACCCCCACCTGACATAATACCTCTCAAACAAGTCCTGCTGGCCTGGCACCCACAGCCAGAAGAAGCAGGCTGCTGGCAATTGCATTCCCCCTTCATACCATGAGCACAGGTACTTTCAGATGATGGAGACTAGCCAACACACATCCATTTCCTAAGGAAGAGGGCAGGAGGCAGAGCCTTCCCTGATAGCTCTCAACATACCCTTTTGTGTCGACTCTCATGCTCGGTCATGATGGTCAGAGCTTGGGCAACTGCCCAAGGTATTATCATCCAGAACATTTTTTTGCATTTTTTATTGAAATTTTGTGATTTTCATACTACATAGTTTGACGGTATTCAGAACCACTCCCCTGTCCACACCTCCCCTCCTAGTGTTCCCCACCTAATTTAACAAACTCTCATACACATATAAATATATATGTATAATATGTTCTACACAGTATGATTGTGTCTCCCAATGTCCATCAGTGTAGCTCCAGCACTTTTTAATCCCATTCTCAATACCATCAGCACAGAATCATTTGTGTGAAGAAGGTTCCCTCCATCCACTCTACTCTCCTTCACCAAGGAAACCCCTCACTCACAATGTATCCATATTCTCCCAACCATACAGGCACGTGTGTGCTTCACAGAGCCCTGGTGGGCTTTGGGGAGACCCAGTATACCATGGCATCCACGAGGAAGGTGGGCAGATAGCTCATGGGGAGGTAGAAGAGCTTGGCATTCCAGCCAGGTGAGTACCGGGTGCGGGGATGACAAGAAGTCAGTGCATGCTCCATGCAATCTGTCACCAAGGACAGGTCCTCTGTGCACTTTTGGTACCATGATACTCCATTTGTTAGGCCTGTAAAGAATGAGAAATTATTGAGGTAGATTTCCACCTCCCATCACTCCTGCCCAGAACCTATGCCGAAATCTAACCTATACCACTTCCTCACAAGGTGCCACAACCCAACTTCAAGAAAAAACTGTCCACACTCACCCACTTGTTTCTCTGTCCAGAGCAATGTCTGGGCTATATAACTGCAAGGTCTCTCTCAACACTGGAAGGAAAACCAAGCCCCTGAAGGGTGCCTCTCTCTCAAGCTGCCCCATCTCTGGCTTCACTTTCATCCTCATAATAATGAGTTCAAATGAAATAGTGCCTTATGTTCTAGAAGCCAGGATCACTTTATGTGAGCAGAAGCCCATGGACCCCAAAGGAAATGGGACTAGACGTTTCCCGGTGAGGTGAAAGAGTTGGGGAGGAAGGGTTTTGTCCTCCTAAAGGAGCTAACAGGAAACTAAGAATTTGGGGTGAGGCTTCGCTTTGGTCCTCACAGCTTACTCACAGAATTCCAGAAATGTCTCTCCATAAGCCTCTCTCACTTCTAAGCTGGCCTTGTCCCACAGCTCCTTTATGCTGAGTAATAATCTCTCATTAGCTACACTGGTCTTGAATGTTCCAGGCTCTATTATGGCCACTTTCATTCCAAAATAGGAGAGCTCCCTCCTGCAAGACAGGCAAGTGTCAAGGACTTCAGAGGTCTTTTGAAGAAAAAATACAATGAATAATACAGTCATAAGTCAACCTAAGGTTGGGGTGAGAAAAGTTTAAAAGTTGTATAGAGCAGACAGGGATGAAATTGTGACAAGAGCATGGTCTCTGTGCTTTTGAATATCACTCTAAGGATTTGTCATATGTATATTACAGTCTAAAGCTACCAATTCTGATCCATGATTCCGGGTTAAAAATTCTTTCCATGTAACACGCACACAAGGGATCAACAGGCTTTGTTCAAGTCAGCTCTTGCTCACTCCAGGGCCCCACCTTCCCTCACTCTGGTCTCAGGGAATCTCAGGCCAGCTCCCACCTGGCTTCTGCTGATGTCTTCAGGGAGAAGCTGTATACATGCAGTCTCATTAGAGACCCCTGCACCCTGCAGCCCGCAGGTTATCTGGCCTAAGTGACACCCATGATTCAATAGCCTCAGATAGTTGGCATTAATAGCATGATAATAGGCCTTTCTAAAGCTGCCAGGCTCTAAGCAGGCCTACCTGTGCCAACGTGTCTAGCATCCATATTGCCTGTGCTGGCCTGCCTGTTGCCCCAAGAGGATCCAACACTATGGCACTATGCTAATGCTCACACTGGGCAAGGGATATGCTCGTAAGGTTTTCTCACCCAGGAAGCCCTCATCACCAGACACCCATGTTCCCATGTTCAACCCTCACCTCAGACCTCAGATACAAGACATTTCCAAATTTGGTCACTAAATGGCCACCAATGTTAATAATCTCTCAATATTGGTCACAGTCTCTCTATGTCTGTCTCTGTCTCTGTCTCCCTTTGTCTCTGTTTCTCTCTCTCTCTCGTGTGTGTGTGTGTGTGTGTGTGTGTTCTCTCTTCCTTACTCTCTCAGGTGCCAGGATTTTACATAAGGAGAAACGTTTATGGTCCTATTGTATTGTGTTAATTGTGAACTCTATCACAAGCCTGATAAGTGTTTATTGACTGAGTAAGATGCTCATTCCAAGGACATCCAGAACCTGAGCATCAGAGAGGTCAAAAGTCTGGACACTTAGCCCATATGATTGGCCATATGCCAAGTCCAATGCTACCTCAGATACTTTCTCACTATACACAATCCTCCAGAACAAGAAGGTAACTGAACTCACTCTAGGTTCTTCCCTTTCCTAGCGGCATGGAAATGGTGGTTCCCTATGAATTGCCACCTTACTCCAGAGAAGGGAAGGTGAGTTGAAAGAAAGAGAGGGAGAAAGAAAGAGACAGAGACAGAGAGAGAGATAGAGACAGAGAGACAGAGAGACAGAGACAGAGACTGCCTCTTTATGATGGGTACATAAAGTTACAAATAAATAAAAACCTTAGCCTAGGTTCCCTCAGGAGCCCCATCCCTGGCCAATACCTGAGGGAGTCCGAAAAGGCCTCTACGCCATACTTGGAAATGCAGTAACCACCACCAAGGAGGGACACCCGTCCCAAGGCCTGGAAACGTTGACCACACGGCCCTTTGCCTTCTTCACTAAGAATGATGGGTACATAAAGTTACAAATAAATAAAAACCTTAGCCTAGGTTCCCTCAGGAGCCCCATCCCTGGCCAATACCTGAGGGAGTCCGAAAAGGCCTCTACGCCATACTTGGAAATGCAGTAACCACCACCAAGGAGGGACACCCGTCCCAAGGCCTGGAAACGTTGACCACACGGCCCTTTGCCTTCTTCACTAAGAACAGCATGCTCAGAGTCACCTCGATCATCCCCATCAAGTTCACATTGAGTACTTTTGAAAAGTTCAGTTTGTCCAGCCACTCATTGGGAGCCATGGGGATGCAGATGCCAGCGTTATTTACCAGGCCCCAGAGGGGATAATGGGAAGAAGAGAGAGTCACACAGGTAAAATTACGGCCAAAATTCACATTCCATCTGGTGAGACTGTTCAGACAGGCATCGGATGTGGAGTAGGGCACAACAAATAACAACGTAGTATCAGGCTGGGGTACATGGTGTCATCAGGCTGGGGTGCCCATCTCAGAAGCTGCTATCTGATAGCATGGACACCTTCCTTCCTTGACTCTCCATGGCCCAACTCATTGCCTGGGGTGGACCAGGCAACATGTCACATTTGTAATCACAGGAACAGACCTGGAAGACATATCGTGCCACCACTAACTGGACACATGGACAACACGTCTCTGTTTCAGAGATAAATGTCATCCTTGAAGATATTTTATTCTTGCAGTACAGGTTCAGATTTCTTTGAGCAGTTTACAAATGCTTCTGCCTCTCAACTGGCAAAGAAAGTCAGAAGAGAGGGGAGAACAGAAAGTGAGCGAGCAGAGGAAAAGACAAAGGAAAAAAGGAGGAAAAGGGAAAGCTAACATCCTAATGGAAGTTGGGTGAGAAACAGAGACCCAAAGTCCTGGCTGTGGGAGATTGCAGAAAACATTGCTGCGTTGATGCTTTGAAGAAAGCTGGCCTTGACACATCCAGCAACAATACTGAACAGCTTATTGAACTCAGAGAGTTACATTAAAAAAATAAGATATGAAGTTGGAGGGAGGATATGGGAGAAGCATGCAGGAGGAGTCGGAAGGGAGAGCAGAGGAAGATATTTAAATACGTTATATTCACGAATGAAATTACCAAAGAATAAGTAAAAATTTTAAAACATATATTGAGCAACTTTTCTGAAGTGATTGCAAATGCAAGACAAGGCTGAGGGAATAGGCAAGGCTTCTTGCCAACCATTAATAAAAGAGCTCCACTCTGCAAGACCTACCACCAGTTATACAACTAAACAGCACATCTACACTGCTAAGTTGCATAAAGTGTGAACAGGGGACTATATGATTTGGGTCAAGCATGGTACTTGTTGATCTGGGAGTGGCCCAGCAAGCCATGTCAGTCCTTGATTCAAAACCCTGTATCGCCCTTGTAGAGATGAGTATTGTTTAACCAATATATTTTATCCTTAGGATCCCCACATATGTGGTTACTGACATAGATGTAAATAGAAGTTTACCAAGACAGTGTTTCTGACAGTAAAAGAAGTAAGCACTCTGGACATTGTAGCACTGGCCACCATCCTAGCCCAAAGGAGGATGAGGCAGAAGGATCATCAGATCCAGGCCAGCTCCTTAGCAACATCTTGTCACAGAAAACAAAAGGCAAACACCAAAAGCACGCTAAGCATTCCCATGTCCTACCTTAACATAGATTTAAATTGTTAGAAATTTTTAAGGTTAGATTATATTAAACTATTGATAATTCATATTTTAAGAGGTATTCTTCAGGCGGTAAAAATGTTAATCTCTTTAAATGAAAAACATTCACTTTTTTTTTTGTCTTTTTTGAGACAGGGTCTCCCTGTAGCCCCAGCTGTCCTGGAACTTACTATGTAGACCAGGCTGACCTCGAACTCACAAAGATCCGCCTGCCTCTGCCTCCCAAGTACTGGGATTAAAACCATGTGCCACCATGCCCAGCCATTCACATTTTAAAATCTCACATAGATCAAAACATTAACAATTTTTACGTCAGGGGAGTGACAATATCGGCTAATTTTGTTGTGATTCTATGTATTCCATATTTGAACAACAATCATATTTTCCATGTATTTTCAGATTTCTTTAAATCAGTCTCTTTTCTTGCTCCCATAATAAAACACTAGGGTAGCAACAGAAAAGGGACCACTTCCCAGTTCTTTACTTTCCCCATTGAATCCATAACATGCCATGCCCTGCTCTGAACATGGGGATGATCCTCACTCTCAGCAGATGACAAGTGGCAAATAAGAGCAAGCCCAGCGCTGAGACAGGAGAGCCAGTCCAGCATGACCCAGACACTCTGCCCACATAGCCCAGGAACACAGTCCCTTCCTGTGCTCCACAAAGTGCCCCCTCCCTAACATGACACTCAGCACCCAGAGATCTAGACTTTCTGCGTAGAAGAGAGGACAGAAGATAGAAGAATTAGGAAGGTAAATCTTCGTCTGGGCACCATTCCACCAGTTCCAGAGAGCTTCAAGGAAGGAGGGGCTGGAAGCAGGAAATGCTCAGACAGATACGCTAGGAGGGATGTGATGCTGGTGTTACTTTAAGCCCCCAAATCCTCTTCAAGGATCTTAACAAGGCCTCACAAAAGGTATTCCCTCCACACACCAAAATATATATATATATATAACAGACACAGATAGGAATCTAGGTGGTACCTTCATCCCCAACACATTCCTTCACCCACTGGGTGGCTGCAGCAATGCTCTCTGTCTTGGTGACATCAAGGATCACAGTCTCCAGCCTGTCTGACGTCTTCTTCCTCAGCTGCTCAGCCCCCTCCTCAGTCAGACATGCAGCCAGCACCCTCATGCCCCTCATGTCCAGTTGCCTGGCCAGCAGGTTCCCAAAGCCTGAGTTGCAGCCCGTGATGAAGACATACTTGTCATGGAGGTGGCTCACCACCTGCCTCTCCCTGTACAAGCGCAGGAGGTACCACAGGCCCGCCAGGGCCACCAGGTAGAGCCACATGACTTGTAGAGGACAGGCACAGACACTGAATCAAAATAAGACTGGCCTCTGTTCAGACACAAAGAAGTAGGAATACCCAAGGTGTGGTAAGCAGGGCAGCCTGAAGGCTTCTGGCATGGAGTCCTCACTTTCCTCTCCTACCATTGTTTTTCTGGAACATTTCTTTCTTTTTTTTTATTTTTTATTTTTTCTGATACCAATGTATTCTTTTTTTAACTTTTACAAAAACTTTATTGAGAATTTCATACATGCATATAAGGTGTTTTGATCAAACCCATGCCCATTCCCTCCCTTCCAACACCTACCATATCGCCCCATCAGATTTTTCTTTTTCTTTTCTTTCCTCGTTCATTTATTTTTTTTTATGTAATTTATTTATTTTTGGTCTGAGACAGGGTCTCCCTGTAGCCCCAGCTGTCCTGGAACTCACTATGTAGACCAGGCTGGCCTTGAACTCACAGAGATCTGCCTGTCTCTGCGTCCCGAGTGCTGGGATTAAAGGCGTGGGCTATCACACCTGGCTCATTTATTTATTTTTAATGGGGCTTTTTGTTACTCTAACATTCTCCCCTCTGAAGAGGTAACCCTAAAATCCCTTAAGGATTAGATACAAGCTCCCAAATACTTATGATATTTTTGGCCTGGAACATTTCTTGCCCCACCTCTATGCTCTTTGAACTGCTATTGTGGTTCTGATATATAAATGCCCTTTGCCCCTTCCTATTTTGTTGCCAAGGAAAATATCTCCCTTGTCTATTGATTTCTCCCTTCGTCCTGTGGCCATATGGAAATCCATATGGGAATCCATACATATTTTATAACACATGCCCCTTGGCATGCTCAGGGTTCAGATTTGTTCTTCATTTCTTGTACTCCAGTGCCATTTTATCAAGGACTTTATGAACATAGGTAGGTGATATTGAGAACATACAATTGAAGTCAACTCACATTTACAAGGAAATCCCTCTCTGAAATCAAGTGCCATTTTATCAAGGACTTTATGAACATAGGTAGGTGATATTGAGAACATGCAATTGAAGTCAACTCACATTTACAAGGAAATCCCTCTCTGAAATCAAGTTTTCTCATTCAGGCTCAGCACCCAGAATCATTCCTCAGAAAACTAGGCTGTTCTCATTCTCTGTCAAACTACTCTGTCTATAGTAATTGTCTGGGAAGAAGAAATGGCGAACCCCAAACAGGGAGCCTGACCTCAAATGTATGCAAGATGATCGGGTCTGGGAGCCCCAGAAACAACTCTCATGATTGCTGTGAAGGGGGAAAGAATTTCACCACCACAAGATGCCTTACTCCTGCATTTATGGATTCAAATGGATATGAGCATAGCCATCTTGTGTTGTAACCACCATGCCTGCACCAGAATAATTGAAATCAGTATTTTTTGCATAATCTCCAGCAAACCATACGCAGATAAAGCTTCTAGAGTGGCGTGTGGAACTTTATACCTAATTCTTGGCTCTAGGGATGTGCCTAATGAAGACTCTGATTCCAGACTAAAATAAACAAGTACCTTCCAGCTAGGACAAAGTTACATTTCTTATTACCTATAATTTCCATCCCTTTCTGACCCAACCTGTAGGAATTAAAACTTGTCAGGTTGATACATGCTTCTGTAAGCAAGTCCGTCAGTATAGTGTGTTCTGTGCACACCTACATCTGTTTGATTTTCTTTCTAAGGCTTCAAAGCACCTTGGGGTTGGTCCTCATTCATCACAACTGGATTGTTCCAGAGCTCATGCTTTGAGGGCCCACCACATTGATGCCTACCTTTCAGTTCTATGACCTCCCTTGAATATACAGAGAATCAAGATCCCTCAGTCACAAAGAGCAACAAAGCCAGCAGGTTGCCCTGAAACTCATCCAGATACAGGACCCTAGCCCTTCAGACCAGAATGGTATTATTTCAGTGTGGATCCAGTGTAGATTAACTAAGGAGTTTCCTTCAGTAATCCTGAGGCAGTGTTAGTCTGGTTCCCATAGGACTGTTCATGGACTCCAGTAAATTCAGAAGATGTGACATCCCACAAGGCATGGAACAAAGAAAGGCAAGAAGGTGGAGAATTGGGCAGAGAGAGAGAAAATACAAGGTTTTATGACTTTGAGCAGCTCCCAAAGACTTTCATTTATCTCTTCTCTGACAGGTAAACCATGATGTGGGATTAGATGGACCTTATATAAGAAATTTCCTGCAGAATCATAGGCTGAAATACATGCATGACTCAAAAAGAAGGGGAGGGGGCAATGTGACAGATCCCACCTCTACTTTTTTTTTGTCTTTTTGAGACAGGGTCTCCCCGTAGCCCCAGCTGTCCTGGAACTCACTATGTAGACCAGGCTGGCCTTGAACTCACGGAGATCTGCCTGCCTCTGCCTCCCAAGTGCTGGGATTAAAGGTATGTGCCACCACACCTGGCTCCCACCTCTACTTTTAAGGACCAAGCCTTATCAGCAGGGACTGTGGGCTTGAGGCTGAGGCATTTTCCCTCAGTGTGGGTAGCTGCTCCTGCTCATGGCTCTGGTTCTGGTCCTGCACCTGTCTTGCCCTGGCTTCTCCTCTCACTCCTGCCCCAATCCTGTTCCTTCTGCTAATTCTGTTCCTTCTCCTCCTGTTCTGCTCCCCCTACACTAGTAGAAACAAGAACTTTCCTTCATATATATATTAGAGCTATGGGGAATAAGGGATGCTAAAACTTTTCAGCATCCAAGAGGACCTAAACATCCTAGTACTCTGCAAAGTAAAGGCTCCGGCTTTCTTGGCCAAGACAAGTGGTAAATTAGATTTTCTTAGTGTCCATGTGTCCCTTCAAGTGTGAACTCCCTAAGGCCATCTTTACAGTGTCATTTCCCACTCCTCTCACTTATTGCCACATTTTCACTCATCCTGACAGCAATATGCATTCTTGTTTAGAGTCAAGGGCTTCCAGAACATTTCAGAAGCTGGAACTATCTCTGGAATGTCCAGATAAAGTCGGAGAGAAAGGTAGCTGGGTGTGCCTTCTCCTCCTAGAGCCACAGGGCTGAAGAGAAATGCTCAGAGATAACCCGTCTGTCCCCTGGAGATTCAAACCATCCCATCCCTCCCTCCACTGTTTTCTGCACAAAATCAATTGACAGTGACCAGTTGCTCTTTTTCACTGTCTTAAGGAAGTGGGGCTGAACTTTTCAGTATCTAAACACTGAAGTCATTTAGATCCCTGGATGGTGGTGCTGTGGCAGAATCTGAGCAGAGCCACCTGCTTCATTGAGGAGGCCAGAGAAGCCCAGCTCAGCCAGATGGGAGTCACTCTTTCAAACAAAAAGGGAAGGCCAGAGTTGATGGCTCAGCAGTTAAGAGCACTGGCTGGTGTCTTGCAGAGGACCCAGGTTCGGTTCCCAGCACCCATATGGCAGTTAACAATTGTCCATAACTCCAGTTACAGGGGAGCCAATGCCCTCCTCTGACCACTGGAAGCATTATATGACACAGGTGCACTTCCATAACATGCAGGCAATATACTCATACACATAAAGAATAAAAATAATAAACAAAATTTTTAAAAAGGTAAGGCCAAACTTACATTACTTCCCTCTTTTCTAGGCAGGAAAGGGAGAAATGGAGCCTAAAATGAGGACTACAAAGGACAGAAACGATGATCCACTATGCAAGCCTGTTTCCAGCCTTGCCTCCTTATAGCCCCTACTGGGTCCCCTACTCATTGTGAGCTGGGGACCCAGAAATGAAGGGACATTTGTGTCCTGAAGGGTCAAGATTTAGGGGTTGGAGACTTTTAGTTGGGAATTACTACAGTGTGCTTCTCACGGAGGGCCGTGACAGCGAAGGGAATGGGTGAAATAGCTTCTGTGGCATCTGAAGAGTCCCTCACAGGTCTCTCTGAGTAGACTCCTCTCGTTACCCAACTAGGCAATCTAGAAGGAGGAGGAAAAGGGGCTATTCCAAGGGTTTGCCATGTGAACTAGTACCGCTCTACATGGCACTTCCCTTTAAAGACATTTCTGTATAGTCAGATCATGCTACCCTTGAGCCACCAGCCATGTTTATGGACATAGGTCTGGATACCACCTTATACCCCAGAGGAGCTCAGCATGAGCTCAGCATGAGCTCAGAAACTTGTACCTTGACAGTTCTCTGATCCTCTGGACAAGACCCTGAAGTGCATCTAAACCTCCCAACCAGGTTCCTTTCTAGTCTACAAAGTCAATGAGTGGTGATAGTTCTGCTTCAGTATGATTTGTAGGGAAGGTGCAAGGGTGCTGACTGCGCGTGTGTGTGGAGAGGATTGTGGAGTTCAGGAGGCTTCAGACTGACTACTGAGTTGTTTCTCTAGTGTTTTGCTTTGTTTTGTTTTTGTTTTAAAACAGGATTTTATTATGCAGTCTGAGATGGGTTCAAACTCATGGTAATAATCCTCCTGCTTTGGCTGTCCAGAGTGTTGGGATGAGAGGTATGAGCCACCTCACACAGCTCTTCTTCTGATTCTGAGAGGATGACATGGACTGACCATGAATGAGCTGCAGAAGAGCATTTGGAGATTCCTAGCTCCATGACGTCTCTTCTCTGCCATCTTGTTTATTCATCCAAGAAGATGTTGGACTCAAGAGTCACCTTCAGTTTTAGCATGAAATATCATACGGTATCCCATTACTTTGTATAATTTTAATGTACCAGTTTAAAATAAAAGGACAGTTTGGGCCGGAGAGATGGCTCAGTGGTTAAGAACACTGGTTGTTCTTGCTGAAGACCCGGGTTCGAATCCCAGCACCTACATGGCAGCTAAG